TGAAACTGACACTCACTGAATCTTGGCCAACTCAATAAGGATTCGGCAGCAGAATCCTGTGCGCTTAAATAATTTAAAATCTGTACAGAATAGCAAAAATAAAAACATCAAAGATGTACGCTTCCTGATAACGAATCCTAGATAAATAAAAAAAAATTCCTTAAAATTAAATTTAAAATATTTTTGCTGCTTTTCCTGTTTGAGTGTATTTTTAACAAATAAATAAATAAAAAAATTTGAAAAATTAGAAAGCATATGTCAAAATTGAATTTTAGTAATGAATGAGACTAGAAAGGATCCAACACGCGCTGGTTCATTGATTTCGCAGAGGACCCTTCTGTGGACTTATTGGCTTTGCACTACTGCTACGCCTGTTGGTGTGGTGTTGGCACATATTCCGATACACAATACGGCTTCATCATCAATAAAAATGGCAGGAATAATTTAATCTGATTTACAACTTGCTTAGAAGCGTGAGTTCCTTAAGTTTGCCACTACTAAGGCTGCATTTATTTATAAAACTTATTTTTTCTCAACTTGAATGTGGTTGAATAAAAAGAGAACTGTAGCAAACCCAAGTTAGAAAAACATAAAAATATACAAGCGACAACATCATAAAACTGAAGCGATAACGTATCAGCACTTATGGAGTCCTTATTCATGTCCTGCTGTCCTTTATGTTAGTAGTTTTATTTTTACATATTTTTTGCTCTTAAATTTTTTTGTTTTTTGTTACATTTTTGTGATTTATTTGTGAGAAAAATCGTTTTACAAGGGGAAAAAAATTCATTGCCAAATAAATCATAAATTTCAACATAAACTCAATTGTGTGATAAAATTATCCTCGACCGTTGTTGGTTTGTGCAGGAAGATAGCAGTGCAATGGCTTTTTATCCTTTGCAATTTTTGTTGATTTTTTTTGACTAGCGTTATTCGGCTTTTATTGTATGTTTGGTACGCCTTCATCTCAGATTTGGCCATGGTCATCAATACAGGAAATGAGTTATCAAAATTGTGTTAAGATTTATTTGAGTTTTATTAAATTTCGTGCGGGTCTATTTGATAGCAAAGGATGTTCACAAAATGTTATGGATTTTGGATTTAATTTGATTCCACAATATTCGAGAAAAATTTTTCTTTGAAGTACTTTTTTTATAGCATTATAAACGAAGAAATTATTGGATTGAAAATATTTTTGTTATAGGTCAAAGAAATTTTATATATATATTTAAAAATAACTACTAATACGAATAAAAAAAATTTAATATATATTATTTTTCAAATTGCATGAAGGAAATCTAATTAACGGAATGCATAAAATGTATTAATTTATATTAGATTGATGAGTGACTTTGATCAGCTGGACTATATAATATATATATCAGTATAAGTTATAAAATGAAATTAACAAATAAAAGAAATTTAAATAAAATAATAGAAATTTATGGATAAAATGGTATAAATTATTAAGGTTTTAAGTAATCACAAACTGTCTTAGGTTCTTTTTTAGTATTTATTAGTTTCATAAACACTACGCCAAGTATATAGTAAATATTTTAGAGAAAGGCTTTTCGAATAGTAGTGAACTACAACAACAACAATTCATTTTATATTATTTTAATTAATTGAATTTTTGGCTTACCATACAGCTGTTTCGAGTATTGCCAAATACCCATCATCAGTAGCCTTGAAAATAATTCTTGAATTTAATTATTTGTAAATAATTTGAGACTGTTTTTTGAGATTGTAAGAACCAGGAATCGATCTCGTGCCCTGCCAAAATTTAAAGCTTAGAGTCAGCGCACCTTAACCAACTAACCCAAAGCCATACTTGACACATTTTTCTAGAGTTTTGTTAATTGGCTGTAAATATTTTAGTGATATTCTGGCATCAAACAAATTCTATTAGTGGCGGCTCGATTAATACTGAAAGCACATTTAAAACTTATATCTGCGATAAGTTCAACGTTCACAGAACTCTGTTATAGTTGAAACGGACGAACGGTATGCAATGGTTGTTTTTTGTGCAGTATGTGGAAAGCATCAAAAGCCACAATGTAAGACTTTAACCCACTAACACCATCTATTAGGAATTAATGGAGAGGAATTTCACTATTAACTATTAGGTGCAAGAAATTTTATAGCAGTAATTAGTGCACGAAATGGTATCGGCGTTTAGCCTTTATATATGACGCACTGGTGCAGTGATGGTGCAAGTGTAGCGACTGCAAGTTTTTCTCAATTGTCGAATGAATCTTTCGTTTTTTAAAAACTACTTTTTTTGGGAAGATGTTCTGGGAAGATTGCTCTTCGAAGATGCCTAATTTATTTTACTTACATATATCTAATGTAAATAGGAATGGATGGTGTTATTATACTCCAAAAGTTGTGTAATTTCTGATGTTAAAACAGCTTATTTCAACAATTTCATTTTAATTTCGTATGGATTTTATAAAATGTATTCAAAATACTTTAGACATTATTTTAAAATTTATAATTAGTAGAGTAAAAAGTTCCATTTTAAATATTTAAATTAATAAAGCGATACTCGATTAACAATACCGCATTGATAAAGACGACTAAGGTATATGGTATTTACCTGAGTTATTCATAGTTGTAATATAAAGCTGTAATTTGTGCCATTTTTTAATTTTTTTTTAGTAAAAAAAACAACAAAAAAGTATTAATTTATTAAAATTTATTTCATTCCTTTTAAGGTAGTTCGATTACAATATTATACTTTTAACAAAATTGATCCGGTTTATCAAGGAGCTGTAGTGATGTGATGGGTCAATCTAAACGTACCGGTTTTGCCATGTTTTTATAAGAAAAAAAAGTGAGGAAGATTGGGTAAGTAAAAATTTAGTTATTCGTTAGTTAACTATGTACTAGTCTAAAAAAAATATTAGACATTTGAAATGTTAACTCATATCTTCTTAAAGCTCTTACAAGAAACTTACTATAAAAATAGTTAGAAACACTTTTCCATTTATTTTAATAAAGCTAATATTATAATGACATTAAAATAATATAACACTTATTATAATGTATGTAATATAATAAAATAGAGGTCAACGATCTTAATTTTTTTCCAATAAGCTCAGCGGTCAACTTCGGTTTATTTCATTGGTAACAGATCATATATCAAATTTTGTCGGTTTTTTTTAAGAATATTGATTTTATTTTGAGCGTTCATCAGGACAGTTTCTACTAAATTAAATTTTGATTCAACAGCCAACTTATTATAAATACAATTGGCATGTTATATTGTTCACATACTCATATAAAATCGAACAAATCACAGCTATGTAAAGAAAACAAGTCAAAAGCTATGTTTAAGGACAATGTCATTTCAATATCTCTACTGGTTTAGATATTTCCGAATTTTGATCAGCTTATTTCTGTTTTGGCACAATGTACGGCGGGATATCAAAACTGCTCTCTATACACATAATAATAATACCAATTAAAATTCTCAGTACTACAGTATTTGTCAAACAATAAATTTCATCCTACGTGTATGCAACATATTTATGTTTTATCAATAATGTACAGCCGAGCTGTCCAGATCAGATGCGATCGATGGCCAATACAAATTACTGTACAGATTGGAGGGCCGCAGAAACAAATACATACGTTCATAGTTATTATTATAAATACATTATAACTTCATAAATATGGTTATAATGTTAAATTTCGTTTTATTAATTTATCACTTTAAAATCATTTATTTGGTATACCATTAAAATAAAATAATGAAGTTTTACCAGTACACCAAAAGAAAATTTGCGTAATTGTAGTAGATAAAAAACATGCTGCGAACCGCACAAACATAAGCTGCGGGCCGTACTTTGTACAGCCCTGATGTAGAGTAAAATTTGCCATTATGCTATGAGAACGATGCAGCGACATGAAATACCGCAGATAGTTACCACTGGAAAGATAACTCCGTTAAAGACATTGAGTGCATTTTACAAAAACAAAATACACAAGTAGACGTGCAAAATGTGGATGACAATATTAAAGTAATTGTTAAGAGTAGATATAAAAACGAGTAAAAAAAATTTATTAGCACGTTTTAAACAAAATCTAAAAGGATTATGAATTATTCTAATATCATCGACTTTGACATAATCCCAATCAAAATGATTTGTTAATCAAAGATTGTAGCCAAAGATCTAATCCTTATATTGGACTCATTCATTTTATATGCCATCTTTATAATGTGACACTCCAATATATCTAAAATGTTTCCGATGATAACTTAAAATTAATTTGTTTGAATGTTTATGAAGTAAAAATTCAACTTCTATTATTCCAGAAGATTGAAAAAAAGTTCAATCATTGGGTTTATAGCTACCTCAACTTGATCATCTACTGAATTTATCATGCATACTAGAGCTTTCTTTTAAGTCTTGCCCCTAACAATGAAAACACAATGGTTAATCAGTGAAAATGTTTTTATTGTTTTTTGAAGTATTTTCATGATGATCAACACATTTTTCGATTGATTTTCAAACATTCAATGGAACAAATTTTCGAAAGAGTTTTGCCACTCTATCTTTGAAATCAGGGTTTGAATGTCTCGACAACCTGTTCAGGCGTAAAAAAAAAACAAGAAAAATTCAGGTGCCAAGTCGTGACTATATTACCCATCAATTCGACGTCTTAGGTATTCAAAAACTCCTTTATTTAAGTTGATATGTGGATTCAAACCATCTTTAACGGTTGGTTTTTCTTAATTCTAGGAAGATACGACAAACAAATTGTTATGTACTACTCAGAATTGACCGTTTTAGATTGTTTAAGTGGTACACTTGCGACATGACCAGTTTTTCTATAAAAAGCCGTTACGAACATGTATATATAGTCGTACTCGTATACCAATTTTTGTTATAGTTGCGCATTGCCATGATTCGCCTAGTACTTGTGAAATAAATTAAGGGATTAAGGGATTAAATTAATTTTTTTTTTTTATTTGTCTAAAAAGTATTCTCGATTTTATTTGTTTATAAAACAATATCACATGTTTAAGAAATTAAACTATTAAATACTATCAAATTAAAGCATTTAAGTATCATTAACTTTCGTAGCGATTTGCACTGGAATTTTGTAAGCGCTTTGTGCTAACAGAGACACGAGCACCATTTCTGCCAAAATCAAGAGATTTATTATTGCTGAAATACAAAAACAAAATGGTAATAAATGTATCAAAAGAACCTCTAAATCACATCCTTACTTTGTTTGTATACTGTATGGTTGATGGGGTAAGGTCCACCCATAATAACGCCATCCAATTGGCTATGCAAAATTAAATACTGTAGTTTACCCAGCATCAAAATCAGCTGCAGAGAAAACATTTTCTTCTACAAAAAATAAAAATAAAAAAAAATTAAAGCATAAATTCGTATTTAGTAAGGGCAATAGTACAAAAAAAAATATATATATATATTGAAGTAATTGTGTTATCGTACCATTAAACCATATTCAGCATGAACGCTGTTCACCATTCGCACTGTGATGTTGAGCGCCCAAAGCCCAATCAATATCGAGCATATAATGAATGGTATGAAATAGATTGCAACATTTGTGTATAGTTCCTGCAGATTAAAAAAACAGAAGAACAAATGTGTACGATGTTTGCACAGAATCTAGCAGAAAAATCAACACAATTTGCGTTTAATTGTAGTACTGGCTTACCCGTTCCTTATAGTAGATGCCATTCAATACGAGCATAATACTTCCTTGCACAAAAGGCATTTGCCAGACCATGTAGCGCAGAATGCAGAGTTTCGCTTTCGTTGGTATCACAGCCGGTAAGCACATGCAACAGCAGCAACACGGTGGCGTATTGATAGCTACAGCAGCTCCATCTGTTTCCTTAACATAGTTCACTTCATTGTCAACATAGCGGAAGCATAAGCGCTGAAAAACTAGTGCGCCCACAGTGAAAGATAAATGCATGACGGTGTGACAGATGAGCCACGCCTTTGGCACGAGTATTGTTACTACAGCAGCTACGGACACAATCGGATATAGGGAACACATCGTAATCGATAGATGCAGCAGTGGCTTAGTCAGACGCTGACGTAGTTTCGCGACCGTCGTACAAAAAATGGCAATATTCAAAATTAAGAGCAATGACGAAATGAAAATCGAAAGCGTTATGAAGGGTGTGAGATCTGTAAATATAAAAAATTAAGGTAAAACGTTACGTACATCTGTAATATACATAGGGAAAAAAAACAAAAAGAATTATGTAAATAACTCACGTGTGTAATATTCGGTCATGGTTGGATGCTGGTATATGCTGGGCACTGTGAAATTATCGACATCCTCCGACACTTCCATTTTGTATTTTTTTCGAAAAAAATTAAATTGTTTTAAAAAGGTTTATTATGTGGACGGAATTACTTTATTGCAGTAATTGTAAATGGAAAGATTGCAAATGAGTGCCTTCCGTAATGTACACTAAACCCAATTGAAAACCATCTTTCGTACTTTGACTTATCTGCGAAGAAACAAAAAAAATTATTATTGAAAAACAAAATTTTTAATTATTTTTTATCTAAAATTTTATTATACTACATGAGATAATAAATTTTATCTTTAAGCTACTTGCTTTAAGGGACAAAACTGCTGAATCGCCTACATTGTACGTATGAGTCAAATAAGTTAAAAATAATGTGGTTAGATAAGCCCAGATCTAAGTAATTAACACAGAAAGATAAGAATATCTACGTAGAATACATGGAACTTAAGCCCTATATAAACATTATAAGTAAAAACAACACTGAATTAATTATCTTAAAAATCGTTTACGCAGAAATAAATTGTTTTTAGATATTTGACATCATTTGCACACTTTTGTTTACGATAACGATTTGTGTACTTTTCAATTAAAAATATTATCTGTATGGAATGGAAATCGAATGACTGGGTAAAATAGAAAGGTTCAAGAGAAAACAAGACCTACATTAGTTGCTTTGCAAAAAGTATTAAGCCGAGTCGTTGTGGAAATTATTGAAATATTTATTTCACAGTCTAATGTGGTGAACCTGTGTCTACAAAAAATTTCCTACTTTCACATGTTTGTCAATTAGACGAATACCTTTTCTTAGCATATAAGAATATCTCTATAGTTTACTGATGTTTTAAATAAAATGTCGCTATTTCATAACGAAATCCGACCCAAGCAATCTCGCTTCTAATAACGTAGAATTTTTTTTACCGTTTCTGGGAATATAGATCTCTTCTAAATTATTAACTTTTTGGATATTCCCCAAATCAGTATCTATATTAGTAGCCACAAAATATTTCATCCAATACCCGTACATCAGCCGATATTTACCGGTTGAGCAGTGTTATAAATATAGGCATGTGCGGTGTATTTCGCCTTTCAGTAAATGTTTTCAATGAAATTTCCTTATCATAAATATTTGTTTATGTATTTAACTAATCATAAAACACAAATTTTTTTGCAACTTAAAATTTAAGCTCAGCTTACTATAAGAATCCTGATGTACTAGTGAAGTAGGCTGATTTACTGGCTAATGAAATTAAACTGGACTAAGTACACTGTTACCAACTTATAGAATACTCTACATTTTAATTTTGATATTTTACACAGAATATATACATATATACTCATCTGTCATATGATCCACATCATGAACAAGGTTATCTCACAGTTTATTCTAATGGAATTAACTTGAAGCTGGTTTTTTCGATGGATATGCTCTGCACACCAACTTTTGAATAAATAGATTATTATTCTCATTGTTATTATGTTTCGTAAAAATTCAATATAAAGAAGCAACCAAAAAACGAAGAATCACGTAGAAACTTTGTACGAAGTAAACAAAAACCAACACGATTAGTCATCGTTTCTAATTTGATAGGCACGAGTTCTAAGCCTGGCACTTGCAGTCCAACAAATTATATACGAACTATAAACTAATTAAATAAAAATTCGAATATTTGCTAAAGATCACTGATGATGAGTAGTTAGCAATACTCCTCGAAACAGCGTTATGTGGTTTGCCAAATTTCAATAAATTAATTAAAATTTATGTTGTTGTTGCTTCATTACTGTTCAAACATTTCAAACTTTCTCTTCAGTTCCTCTTTAGTTAACTTATCATAAGACGTGTCAAATTAGACTATAATAATTTAAAAAACAACATTCTATATATAATATATAGAACAAAATCAGTTGTTCTTGAAAACTAATTGCTATTTTTGAACGATAAGTAACAAGAATTGTTCATTAATATAAGAACGATGTTATGTAGAGTGTCATGGGCTAGTTTTGAGCAAAATTGTTGTTGTTTTCAATTATTTTTCGGGCATTCGGAGGATCTTCGGTCTTCTTGGTTGAGTTTTCTTGAACGGAACGGGCAGAATGTATGACAGAGTTTAACTTCAGTGATCCGCAAAGAAATACACAAGAAAAATAAAAAAAAAAGATGTATATATGAAACTCTTATCGGAAGCGGCGTGAAGTTGTTAATATATAAATTTATACTCTGGAACAGTGTTTTATACCATAACAACTATCAAGTATTTTAAATAAAGAAAAAATATTATATAAAAAAACCGAATTTTTTTTGAGACGTATGTCCATCTCTAGTGCCTTTGCTTTACCGCAGAATATGTTACATTATTAACCACAAAGGAAACCAAATGAAGTGTTTAAAGAAATTCAAATATTACTAACTAAATTATAAATACGAAATTAAACAATAGAAAAGAGTAACATCCAACAATTTTTATATTTCAATAATATATATCAAATGAACGTTTTTTTTTAATATCAATAAATCAATTATCGAATGCATTGAATGTGATAAAATCAAACTGATACCTGGGACAGCAACGGCGACGGCAACAGTAGCAATGGCGCGAACGTTAACAACAATAAGGCATAAATTGCCAGAATAGCAATAATAACTAAATGAATTACTTAGTGCATTAATTATCTACCTACTTAGTTTTTTTTGAAGTATTATTTAATTTTCTAAGAATATCCATTATAGTTAAATATAATTAATTGAAGTATGTTAAATGAATACTGTTATCTATTACATTAATTATTTATTTACTTAGTTTTTTTTGAAAGTACTCCGAGTTAAGTTTCTTTTATATAATAATTAAGACCAGGTTTACCAGCGTATACCAGGTTTTGTACTGAACCCTGGTATACGCTGAGTATACCCCGGCCGCGGTAGAGGCCGGAAAGGTCGTTACAGTGTTAATGTATTTTATTAAAAACTAAATTTACAAATTAACACGATATTCTGTTTAGTATCTAAGATCTTTGAACTTCATGACTACGAAGCTACGTGATGTTTCATATTAAAATTTTTGTGAAATGAATTTTCGTTTTTACTGAACTTTTTTTTTATTTTTATGTTATTTTATTGACTCAAATATATTTTAATTGAAATAATTAAAATTCTTTAATGATCTAAATTCTTCTATTAAAATTTTATAATTAATTAAATTAATTTATATAAAGTATGAAATGTGTAAAGAAATTTTATTTTTTTATCTAAACATAATTTTGTGCTATTTTTGAATGATTTGTGAGATGATTATTAAGTTGTGTGTTTAAACAATAAAAATGTCTAATCTGAAGCACAATTAACACCGAGACGATACGTTTGTTTACCTTGGCATTTAGCACCTCCATTGGCCATTCAGCGCCACAGTTCATTCATGAAAGTGAAAGCGCTTCCGAAGCAGCAATGAAGAAATGCACGATTTTTCGCAATTTTTGCAAATTAAGGGACATAAATAAAATATGAAGTCTAGAAATTATTTTCCATAATATTTTTCTTCATATTTATTAAAATAGTTTTTTTTTATAAATTGTGTAAAATTACTTGGAAGACTTTTGATTTGCTTGTTTACACGCTGCATTCCAAGTAACTGCCAGTTTTGAGCAAAGTTTTGTATACTCTAAGTACACTGCAAAACGAAGGAAAAACGAGTAAAATTTTATATGGAAATAATTGTAAATTTACACTGAAACGCAAACTCAGAGTTTATTTACATGTTTAAAAAGACTGTGGAGGTTAAGTGGAACCAACAGAAATATTTACTGAATAAATATTATGCAATTCTGAGATAACATTTAAATGCAAATTGTTTATATGAATTTGATGGATATTTAAACGCAAATAAAAAGTGAAAATATTAATTTTAATTTGAATTAAAAATAAATGTTTTTCAGAAACTGATTTGCTTACTATAATTATTTATTTTGAGCAGGACTTAAAATTTTTTTTTAGGTAACTAATTAATTAAAAAATACATCATTTTATAAGTATAAATACATATTCCATTTATTATATCCATTATTTTTCCATTGCTCTAGAAGATGACAATTTGATTATAATATTAATTATTATATTCATTGTTTTATAATTGTATGCAAAAGAATATATTGTGAGGATTTCTTTTAATAGTTTTATGGTTTCAAATTGATAAGAAGGAAATGTATTTTAAGCCATTGAGACAAATATTTTTTAATTGGTTATTTCCATTATGGTATTAATAATAAAAAAGTTTTTGAGCGATTCGTTGTTATGAAAAAAACAGAGAGGCAAAAATATATTGTGAAATTACACATTTTCATACTTTTCTCACATAATAAAGGCTGTTTCTGACGAATATCATAATTAATGTTGACTTTTAAGAGTCGATTCAAAGAAATTTTCAAAAAAATCTCCTAAGAAATCTTCAAATAGCTTTAATGTTTCCATAAAAATGTTCTTCGGGTTGTTAGTTTAAAAGCACACGCCACATCCATATGCCTAGGGACAATATACTCATCGAACACTCACATTAATAACACAAACTGACAATGTTTTTATAAAAGACCAACAATTTTAATAAAAAAAAAAATAGTACGACTTACATTGTGACCGAAAAGTTTTCGGAAATTCTCATTTAAAATTCGCGCGCTGTATATTTTTCGATATTTTAAGTTTATGTAGTTTGGCAGCACTGTCCTTAATTACTATGCCAAACATGAGCGCGATCTGTCAGACAGTTCGTTTACGGCAGCTGTTGAAACCAGTTCACCTCAGTAGTGCGTTGCGAAAAAAACAATGGAAAAAAATATTGATCAAAGAGTTTGCATCAAATTTTGTGTTTCGAACGAATTTTCGTGTGCAGAATCGTTGCGAATGCTACAAAAGGCTTATGGGGAATCAGTTTTATCGAAAACTCAAGTTTATGAGTGGTACAAAGCCTTTCAGGACTGTCGTACGACCGTCGAAGACATGCCGCGTTCTGGACGACCTTCGACCTCTACCACCGACGAAAACATTGAAAAGGCAAAGGAAATCGTGTTCAAAAATCCTCATGTGAGTGTTAGAGAGATAGCACGAGAGCTAGGCATCGGTCGTGAGATGGCTCGTTTGATTTTGGTGGACAATTTGTGTATGCGACGTGTCAACGCTCGGCTTTTTCCGATTCACCTCAATTTGTTCCAAAAACACC